TGTTGCAGAGGTGGGGGATGGTTCCTGGGGAAACCACTTGCCATGTAAGTGTGAGGGCGTGGATTTGCATCCCCAGGACCACTAAGGCCACATGTCTGTAATCTCAGGGTTCTACAGTGAGACAGGAGAAGCCAGGAGGACTCCCAGAAAGTTTCAGGCCAGCTAACGTGGACAACAATGACATCCTATCCCAATGAATAAAGTGAGGACTACACACAAGGCTTTCCTTTGACTTTCACAAAGGTGCCATGGCACACATGCATACACATACACGCATACGCATACACACACACACACACACACACACACACACACACACACACAGAGAAGAGAGATATAGAAGGAACTTTTCACTTATCTCTGGAGGTTTAATAATTCTATCTTTGAAGTGATAGGCAGATTAAGAGACAGAAAGGCGATTTTATTATATGCATGGGTGAACCAGGGGAAAGGAATGTGAATACCTCTAAGCCTATGAGACCTGGAAACTTAAGAGGACTACAGACAGCAACAGAAGCATAGGCCTTCTTGAGGAAGGTGTTGGTAGCAAGCTGTGAGAGGGGAAAGTGGAGAAAGTAGAGGTGTGTAACTGTCTTGTTATGAACAAAAGCTCTCAAGTAATGAAGGCTCCATCAGAAGAACAGCCAGGCAGTGGTGGCGCATGCCTTTAATACCAGTACTTCGGAGGCAGAGACAGATGGAGCTCTGTGAGTTTGAGACCAGCCTGGTCTACAGAGCGAGTTCCAGGACAGGCTCCAAAGCTACAAAGAAACCCTATTTGGAAAAACCAAACCAAACCAAACCAACAAAACAAAACAAAACCAAAAAACAGAAGAGCACTGTCAGAAGGCCCTGTCAGATGGTGTCCATCACTCTGTCTTGTGATGGAGACCATCTGAGCAAGACAATGACCTCCTGTGGCTCTGTCCTCCCTAGTTGAGGCACTTCCCAGGAGAGAGGAGCCATGACCATTGTTCTCTTTTTATGTAAGAGCTATCCAAGGAGATGAGGGAAACCGGAGAGAATGCCTGTGGTAATAACCTCCCCAGGTTATAGCATCCCCAGACTTTCCACTTGAGGGTGGCACTTTCTGAATCCCTTCACTGTCAACTAATGGACTTTGGCCTATTTGTACACTAGCCTACCCTGAGTGTGCAAGAAGGTGGCCACCCGTTGTCCTGTGATAGTGCACAGGGACGCTGCACATCTGGAGGAGGCATCAAGCATGTTTCCTGTCTGGTTGGAAAGTCCCAGGAGAGGGTCACAGAAAAGGAGCCCAAGCCATCTTTCTAGAAGGAAAAAAAAGAAAAGCACAATTTTATGGACCATTATATCTAAATGCATTTTAGAATCACAATACAAAGAGTAGACACTTTTGCATATCTTCACCAATACTGCAAGTGAGCCCAGGTAGGGTGGATCACACATATAATCCCAGCATTCAGCAAGCTGAGGCAGGGGGATTGTAATGAGTTCAAGAAAAGGCTAGGCTATATAGTGAGAGCCTTCCTGAAACAAAACCAGCCATCTGGTTAGCATTTTCTTTGGGCTGACAACCAGCTCCCAAATAAAGACACAGAGAGACATTGTTAATTATGAATGTTCAGCCTTAGCCTAGGCTTGTCCCACTAGTTCTTTTAACTTAATTTAACCTATTTCTATTCATCTACATTTTGCCTTTTTACCATTCTTTCATTCTGTATGTCCCACTGTCATGTTTCCTCTGTGTCTGTTTGTCTGGCCCCTGGTGTTTCCCTGTGGTCTCTTTTTCTTTCTCCTCCCCTCAACACCACCAGCCTAAATTCCTCCTCCTCCTTATTCTCCCTGCCTATACTTCCTCCCTCACTATTGGCCATTCAGCTTTTTATTAGACTAATCAGGTCCCTTAGGCAGGCAAGGTAGACACAGCAACACATCTTTCCATGATTAAACAAATGCAACACATCTTTAACAGTTAAGCAAATATTCTACAACACAACCAAAATCCAACCAAATGAGGCTGTCAGTGAGGTGTCCTCCCAGTTCTTAGAACTGCATTTTAATTAAGGAATCCTCAGCCAATGCTGACACCGAGACTCAAGAGGACATTGTGTAAGTTCTTAGATGCCTGGCAAGTCTCTAAAAGAATCCCTTGCCAAACAGCTCCACGCTCACTCAAACCTTTACCTCCTTTAAGTTTCTTTTCTAAGCCGCTTTTTATTTTGTATGACTCTTTAGACTGCACATATGTACGTGTGCCATATGCATGCTTGGTGCCTGCAGAGGTCAGAAAAGGGCACTGGGTCCCTGGACTGGAGTCTTGGATGTTTGCGAGCCATTTTGTGGGTGCTGGGTACTGAAACTGTGTGCTCTGCAAGAGCAAATGCTTTCACATCTCTAAGTCATCTCTTCAGGCCCCTTTACCTCACTTTTGTGAGGCTTGTTTACACCCCTGTTCTACTGCCGCCTAAGTAATGCCACAACATCCCCAGATCACAATGACAAGAAAAGTTTCTCTCTCACATCTGCTTTAGTTCTGCTCCAACTGGGGACCTTGTGCTAAAGAGCTCCTGGATGTAAGACACAAGCCCTGGTCAGGCCTGGTGGCAAACAACCTTTCATCCCAGCACTTGGGAGGCAGAGGCAGGTGGCTTGAAGTCAGCCTGGTCTACACAGCAAGTTCCAGGGCAGCCAAGGCTATGTAGAGAAGAGACACCCTGTTATAAAAAACAAATGGTCCTGGAGGAGTGGGAAAGGAGCAACAACACAGCTGTGAGAGGCACTTTCACCCTTGTTCTGATGCCCAAGGTAATTCATATGAACCAAGGCTGTGAGGAGAATCCCTTTGAGGGGGCATTAAGCAGGCCTGTGGCAGGCTGAGCACTTAAAGATGTACTCTTTCACACATGCTCATTTCCCCCCAATGACTAACATTTTATTATTTCAGATATTCAGAGGACCACTGGTTGTTTTGGTCCGATAAACTGTGGGCTCTAACGTCTACACTGCTATGTAAATTCTATTTCCCTAAGCATATGTGTGCCCTTTCTGAGCAAGTCGGTAATGATTATGACACGGGGAGCGAAGGAGGGGACAAAAAGGACACTGTAAGTAAATGTAATGTTGCAAACGCTCTTATCAGCAGAGTGCTGGATAGCTTGGGGAAGTTGGAAAGATGGGGTACAGGGATTAAGAATGGGTAGCCAGATTCCAGGAAATCTGGGGAGTTCAATCCATTTAAAAATTTGAACGTTTTTCTGGCCTCAAAACATACAGTTTCTTGTGCCAAGAGGGAGCCCCTAAAGGAAAGAAATGGGAAAGAAAATACAAGGAAGGTATTTCCTTTTTAAATAACTGTGCATATCGATGGGGTACAGTGTGATCTTTTTACTCGTTCATTTAAGTATTCACTATTAAATCAGAGTAATTAACATTTCTCAGGGAAGGAAAAAGGGAAGCTGAGAGGTTGGGACAGCACAGGTCCAAGGGGCAAGTAAGGAGAAAGGACCTACTAAGAGAAAAATGGAGAGGAAGAAATGACCGGAACAGAAAACTCAGTAACTCGAGGAAAGGGATCTTACTGGCTTACTGGTTTCCATTTTACTCCAAACCACCTGTCCCTAGCCTTCAGTGCTCTGGTGCTGGAAATGCTGAGGTGAGGCACGCCGCCTGCCGGCTGGGCGAGGCGAGACAGCCGCGAGTGGGCAGGGTCAGGCCCGCGGAGACCCTCGGGTGGCGGGGTCCGGGTTCGGGGGTTTGCGGCCGAGGCTGAAGGGCAGGGTCTGGAAAGGTGGCCGCGTCGGCGGGACGGGTGTCGGGGGCGACGCGAGCGCCCGAATCGGCTGCACGTGGGCCGGGGCGCCGCACGGCCACTCCCCACCGCACCCGCGCCGTAGTAGAGACGTCGTAGTGACTTTACCACCTCGTGGCCACAAAACGGACAAGGACTTCGCTTCGTACCCTGCTCTGGGGGAACCAACTTCACCCGCTAACTGTCCAGTTTTAAAAATAAGATCGTCACTAGAGCGCAGCCGGTGCAAAGCAGCGGCGACTCCGCGTCGCGGGCACCACACGCCCCTGCGCACTCGCCACCCCTTCCGGGCGCCCCAAGACAGTGGGGCATTACACAGAGGAACGACAAAACCGGCCTCCACCAAGCGCAGCGCTATTAAAGTAACGGACCGGAAGCCGAGCCTCCCTTCCCGGAAGCAGCTTCCGCCCGCCTCCCGCCCATCTGCCCTTTTAAAGCGGAGCTTTGCACGGCTTCGGAGGGAAGGCTAGTGCGCTTGCGCGGCTCGGGTAGCCTCGGGAACCGTGAGTGTCAGCGCTGAGACGCCGCAGGGTGGCCTGCGTGCTACGTCCCCAAGGTCGCAAAGAGCCAGGTGGGTCGCCCTTTGGAGTCCCGCTCCCACCCGCGGAGGCTTCGACTCCGTCGCGGGCATGAGGAAGGCACATCTGTGGCCCCAGGTGGCGGGCAGGACGGGGCGGCTCCCGCAGCAGCCGTGCTTTCTTGCTTCTCGCGTTTTCTGCCAGTGTGGTCCACTGTCGCCTCCAGAGTTACTCTGCTCCGCCATAGCGAGCATCAAAAGTCAGGGCGAACCGCTAGGATTCAGTCTAAGTATCCATTCGGCTCTATTAACCCCCGAACGTGGGCGTGTAGGCGGGAAGAACAAACAAACAAAAAAAGCAAACACGTGGGAGCCGGAAACTACTGTACTGTCTTGTCGTGACAGGTCAGGTGCCCAGGGTTGTCTTTGTCACTTCGTGAACCATTAGGAGGAGAGTATAGGATGGCCCTCACGGACTTGGCGAGTCTAGGTATTTTCCCCCAGCGGTATCAGTAGACACGAACTCAGAACCAAATTTCACTTCCCATAAGACTCGGAGGAAAAGTTGTTGAAGGAATTACGTGAATCTCAACCTGTTTCTTATTTGAACTTGTAGATAGCTTTCTGAAGTTAAGATTCGATGTCACCCAGGATTCTTTTTTGCATGACAGGTTTCAGCAAAGAGTTAGACTCAGAAGAAATGGCCCTGGTACCCTATGAGGAAAGTATGACGATAGGGCTCCAGAAATTCCATAAGCCTCTTGCCACCTTCTCTTTTGCAAACCACATCATCCAGATCCATCAGGACTGGAGGCAACTGGGAGTCGCAGCAGTGGTTTGGGACGCGGTAAGTCAACTCAGGAGGACCTCTGAAAATACCCACAGTCTTGACTAGACTATAATTTTAAAAAGGAAATTGATTGCTTTCTTGAGATATAATTCACATATGCTCTCCTCCAATGTAAAGTATGCAAAAGCCCTGGGTTGTTCAGTACATTCATGGCAGTGTACCCACTACTACCCCAGTTTACAAAGTTTTCTTCGTTCCGGGAGTCCCCCTTACATGGTGAAATGACCGACAAGTGATTGCCCCGTGAGTACCAGAAAACTAGAAGGAAAACAGAAGCCTACTTGTCCTGGTCACTCATTAGGTTAGTTTCTGAAATACCACACTAAGAATGTGTGGAGAAAGAGGCCGGACTTAACATCATGTCTTAAGTTTTCTATAGTTTGAAAACATTCTTGCTTTTCTGCTTCTGATAGCTCTGTCTTCAGCTGCTAAATAAACGATTTGCATGAAGACACTTTGGTTATACTCTTAGTATATAGCTGTGAAAAAAACAAAAGTAAAAATTATGGGATTGTAAGCAAATGCTCATTGAACATGTGGAATTCTAAAATTTGGTGAAAACCTACCTTCTGATTCACAGAACATGACTGGGGTCTTTGTCATGCAGTGATTCAGCAACAGGGCCTAGAGAGGGTGGGCACTGTAATGCTTCTTTCTAGTTTGGTTCAGGACCTGGACATTGCCTTGAAGAAAATCAAAGATCGTCCAAATCACTTCTTCCAGAATAGTTTTGTAAACTTCATGAAATATGCTGTGACACAGTAAAACATTGAGCTTTTTAGATGTAGCTGCCCCTGTCTGGCATGTACCATACTTAAGGAGCTTTGTGCACACCGTGCCTGTGCTTACTCTAATAGATTACCTTACAGCAGCAGGTAAGGTCCTGTGTTAGGGAGTTATACTTCGCAGGTAGAGACGGAAGGAGAAAAGAGAGAGGAGAAGGGAGAGGGGAGGGGAGAGAGAGAATATGGATGTTGGGTCATTGTTTCTTCCTGCCAGCATTTGGCATGTTGAAGCCATACAGCTCTTCAAATACTTGCTGACCTTAATCATAATCATGTTGTGTTCTGACTCAGGCCATCGTCCTTTCCACATATCTGGAGATGGGTGCTGTGGAGCTCAGGGGCTGCTCTGCTGTGGAACTGGGTGCTGGCACAGGGCTTGTGGGCATAGTGGCTGCCCTTCTGGGTGAGTGCAATGGGCTGACTCACTCCATAGTGAGCAGTACTCATTGAGAGGTACACTTGCCGTTTCCTTGTGCTTGGGATCCCAATTACTGAGCTGACTTCTTTCTCCCATGCTTAGGAGTTGTGGGCCACTGGCTGGTGCTCTCAATAATTTCTTCTCTTTCTCTCATCCTCTTCTTATTCATACTTCTGTTGAGAGATCACCTTGCTCTCTTTGATTTTATGATGCAGACAGTAGAATTGGACAGTTTCTGTGTACAGTTTCTTTGACTTAAAGTGCTAAGACTATAGACTACTAGACTTAATCCCTCCTGGGGAGGACGGTCCTTCAAGTGTACACTGACATCTTAATTTAAGAAATTATGTTAATGCTCTGTAATTTTTAGTTAATGCCAACCTATCTGTCAATCTTCATCTGATATGGGCATTATTTTTTTGTTTTTCTTTCTGGAGATAGTGTCTTACAATGCTGTCCAGGCTGGCCTTGAACTCATAAACCTTCTGAGTAGCTGGGATTATGGGATTACTGGCAACTGGTATGATGCGCCACTGTGCTTGGCCACTCCCCAAGTCAGCACCCCACTGTGGCCTGATGGAGCTTTTGGTCCCACACCCCGCTCTGCTGTGGCTGTTGTCATATAGGTTTAAATTAAATCTTACCAACAAAGATTCAAAAGTTGGATGTGGGGATGAAGACCTGCTAGATTAGAGAAGCTGAGAAGCAGCCAGCTGACCTTGCATTTTGGCCAGAGACCCTGAAGGAGATGAGTCTCTTCACTTGTCCCAGAACCAAAAGGAGGCCCAAATTCTAGTCCCTGCCCATTCCTTCCTGTGTGTCTTCTCTGTCCAAATTTCTAGCTTCTCTATGGCTAATTCTGGTCAGCTGGTCTCGGGCTGTGTCCCTGATTCAAGGAAACTTTGTTGACAGTCTGAAGTGTCACAGTGAAATCAAAATATCTGAAAACATCATAAGTCATTGGTGAGATTCTTGTTGGTGCCATCCTCAGATGATCCTTACAACATTACCATGTATGTTATATATTATTTTTAATTTTTGTTTCTCAGCTAAAACTGTTATTTTGAGATATTAAGCCATTTTAAGTGTCCTTATCAGCAGAGATCTGAGACTCAAGAAGCAATCTTGTCAGACATAGCAGCTCAAATTAAGGTTCTTTGTATGCTAACCCCCCTCCACACCACATTTTATACTAAAAACACAGGCAAAATTTTTTTTGGCTGGTATAGGTATGTTAGTGCATACCTATGTAGTTGTAGTTGATTTAATTTAGACACTTTGCTTCTTCCAGCTCTTTGATCTTGGGCTCAGTATTTAATCTCTAACAATGACTTCTGTCTGTAAAATGGGTATAGTGACAGTATTTGTTCCACAGTGAGGCTCAAGATGGGCTAGTTACTGATGGAGATGTCAGTCTATAAATATGTTTCTCTTATTGGTTAATGAATAAAGCACTATTGGCCAATAGGAAAGCAAGATAGGTGGGACTAGGAGACTAGGAGGAGAGAAGAAGTAGTAAAGAGGAGAATCAAGATGAAGGAAAGAGAGCAGAACACCAGCCCCTCTCTCTGGTAAGATAAGACCACGTGGAAATACTTAGATTAATAGAAATGGGTTAATAATTAAGACAGAGCTAGCCGATAAGAAACCAGTAACTGGCCAACAGAATTATATCTAATATAGTGTCTCTGTGTGTTATTTGGGGCTGGCACGGCAGTGGGACCAGACTGGCTGCTGGGGGAAAATCCTACTCATAACAAGTTACCATTTATACATAGTTTTATAGATGATCTCTGAGCTGACAGAAGGTGTGCTGTGGACGGGGTGTGTGTGTGTGGCTATTTTTGGTGCTTCTTTTTCTAATGAGAAATCTAGCTCTATAGGATTGAAGAAGTCAGGATAAGGTTCTTCAAATACTTATTTCAGAATGAAGGATAGCAATTGCTTCATGAATCTGTATCTTAGATTGTGACTCTTGAGAAATGAAACCATAACTCATTCTGTGTCCTTGACCCTTGAACAGCCACTCAGGTACAGGGATACCTGGGTAGTGTGGGAATAAGTCTTGAAGGAACCAGGGGCTAGAGAGATGGCTAGGCAGTGAAAAGCATGTTGTGATGACCTGCAGCTCATGCACAGGGCCCGGGTTTGGTTCCCAGCACCCACATCAGCTATTTCACAATTGACTGTAACTGCTGCTCCAGGGAGTCCAGACCCCTCATCTAGTCTCTGGGCACTTGCACTCACACATGCATACAATAGTTTAAAACTTAAAAAACAAAAAACAAACAAAACATGAACCAACTAGGTTAATGACTCTGGCCTTGAACTCACAAGGCCTATCTGCCTCCCGAGTGCTGGGATTAAAGGTATGTGCCACCAATGCCCAGCAATTAATGACTTTTTGGAAATTATGAAAAATAGTAAGACTGATGCAACTCTATTACAAGAATAATTATCATTGCAGCAAAATTCCTATTGCATTTTGACATATTCTTTTCCCCATCTGTATTTTACATAATCACAGTTGTCATTAAGGTTTTATTTGCCTGTGTGTGTCTGTACGAGTGTGTGTTTCATATGCCTGTCATAAGCATTTGTGTTCCTGTGTTGTGATTTTCATACTCATTAGAAAGTATTAGATTCTTCTTCTATTGGAGAACAAGAAAAGAGATACCATAATAGAGGGGGCCATTATAGATTTAAGGAGAAATCTGGCACTAGAGAAATGCCCAGTGATCTACAAGGATGGCCCTTACTAACAATCTAAGCAATAGTGGAGAGGATACCTTTAATGCCCTTCCATGATAATGAGATTGATGACTACCTTATATGCCATCCTAGAGCCTTCATCTAGTAGCTGATGGAAACAGAAGCAGACACTCACAGCAAAATAACTAGCTGAACTCCTGGAATCTAGTTACAGAGAGGGAGGAGTGATGAGTAAAGGGGTCAAGATCAGACTGGAGAAACCCACAGAATCAGCTGACATGAACAAAGGGGAGCTCATGCACTCCAGTCTGAAAGCTGGAAAACCAGTACATACTGACTCAGACCCCTTGAATGTGGGTGTTAGGAGGACTGGGCAGTCTATGGGGCCTCTGATAGTGGATCAGTATTTATTCCTAGTATCTGAATGGACTTTGGGAGCCCATCCCACATAGAGGGACACTCTCTCAGCCTAGACACATGGAAGAGGGCCTAGACTCTCCTCCAAATGATATGACAGACTTTGAAGACTCCCCATGGAAGGCCTCACCCTCCCTGAAAAGCAGAAAGGGGATGGGCTGGGACTTGGTGGGGGTGATAGGGGAGGATGGGAGGGTGAGGGAACTGGGAATGCCATGTAAAACAACCTTGTTTCAAATTTAAGTGAAAAAAGGAAAAAAAAAAAAAAAAAAAGAGAGAGAGAGAAAGTATTAGATTGGAGACATTTTGATGCTAAAAAACAGAGTAAGAAAAAGTTTCAAAAATAGAAACAGGACTAAAACATGTAGTGATTTTGAAACATTTGACAAGGGATTGGTTGGTCTCTTCCAAGTTGATGTTTTGGCACTCAGCCATTTATCCCTGAATTCAGGGATTACTTACCAAGTGCCTGCTAGCTCAGTGTGGGTAGCTCATGCTGACCAGGCAGACAGGTCAGCATCTTGAGAAGCTTACTTACATTCTTAGTCCAGAGGGAAGGACTAGGTAAAGACACATTGTGTAAAAAGTAGACAGTGCTATGCAGAATGTTAGTACTGGGTGTGAGGCTTCCTCAGTAAGAGGAGCAATTCCTGTGTGTGGTTGGGCTGTATATTCCCGGGGTCATTATCAGAGTGACCTGTATTGTAAATAGACTTGATCATGAGTTTTCCTCAAGTGTTGGCAAAAGTTAATTGAGCAAATAACTTGCTCAAGGTTGCAAAGCTATGGATTATGGCAAGACTTTGAATCTAGTTCTGACTTTCAAACAGGGTTTTAGTTTGAAAACCCCCTGGATCTTTATACTACTTGGGGACTACTTATACCTAGGGGAAAACTAATCCCATTTTGAAGATAGGATTCTGTAAGTTGGGTTGGGTTAGAGAATCTGCATTTTAAAAAATCAGTGTGATTTGATGACAGGGAGACCCCTGTCCTAAAGTACAGTGCTCAGGAAGAAGCTGACTTGCTGCCATTCTATTAGAATTCTGTAAGTCTTGGACCTGCATCCCTGAACACTAGCCTCACCCCTGGCGGCTCCCTACCCAGCACTTCTTCCCTTCCCTCCTTTGTTCTGCATTCATACCATTGTCCTATTATCATCAGAGTTGAGGGAGAGACTATAAGGTTAGTGTCATTCTTACAACAGCCTGCATGACAAGTGGCCATGGTGGACTTATATTCTCTTCATGTGATATAATGGATGGGACCACAGAGTTACTTAATGGGTTATAGTTTCAAATTCAACAGCCCTGAACCCTGTGTCACAACTGTTTCTCCAATGTTGACTGGAGCCCTCCCCATCTGTCCCCTGCATGACTGTAGCTTCCTCCCACCTGGCCTCTGCTTTCTCAGACTCATTTCCTGGAGTGGCTGCCAGATACCTATCTAAAATGTGCAATTAATTGATGGTGTGGTGTGTGTTTAGACATCCGGTGCCTTTCTGTTGCTGCAGACCACGTCCCTGGCTTATTGGCAGGGCTTTGTAGTCTCATCCTGTACAGTTTATCAGCTTCTTTCATGCTTTGAGAAGTTCCCAGGACCCACACTGCTCACGCCTGCTGGCCTTTTCTCCTTCCCCAGCTCATGGCCTTATCTGATGAGTAAGTTCAGGTTTCCCTTGCCTTGGCCTCTCCCTCTCTTGAGGAATTTCTTTCTGACTGTGTGAGTCCTGGTGCACAGCACATTCCTGCTGCTCTGCCTCCCACGGCATCACGGTTATTCTTAGCTTTTTTTCACTCATGAGACTTTGTTCCAGGTAAGGATTTTCTTGCTCAGCTTTGTGTTTCTAGCACATGGGTTATGTTTGAATGTTTATCAAAAGTAAAGCAGTATTTAATAAAACAAAAACTATGCCAGGCAGTGGTGGTGCACACCTTTGATCCCAGGACTTGGGGAGACAGAGAGATGTAGATCTCTGAGTTCAAGGCCAGTTTGGTCTAGAGTAAGTTCCAGGGCAGTCAGGGCTACACAGAGAAACTGTGCCTCAAAAAAGCCAAAACCAACCAACCAACCAACCAAAAGAACAATACAAACACTAAAAGTGATGACAACAGCTTACACACTGTTTTTCCATTCCTGAGTGACAGCTCACTGTGTGTCTGTTAGGTCCATTTCCATTGTCACTTATGGATAATATTAACTTGCTTTTCTACTTGTAGTATATATCTTACAGGAAGCCATTTTATGTCTTCTTGTTTGGTCCAACGTCATTCCCTTCCTCACCTTATCTTCTTCACCAGGCTGTAACCAACCTAGGTAAAATGCAGGTTTTCCTACCAGGCCTGTGCTGGCTTAGCTAAGTGTGGCTGTGGTGGGCACTATGCTGGGGCTCCCTGGCTGGCAGTAGTCCCTTAGATATTGGTAGATAGATGTTCAGGGTAATGTTCGGTTGACATTAAGATCTTGTATCAGCTCTGGAATACCTGGTAAGTTAGTAGTATCTAGTAGGTAGAGACCCCCAAGATAGACACTAGAGGAGTGCTCAGAGTAAGGACCAAGGTGAATCCTGCCTGAATGAGTAGATCACTCTGGTATTGCCAGTCAAGTGCTTTGTTTCCTGCCAAGAAATACACAAATAAAAATACTAATTCAAACCAGGAAGGCTGCTGTATTTTTCATTCTCAGAGACCAGTCATTGATTTCTGCTTATTGGGCAACATAGTCTGTCAGTGAATCATTGCAGTGGTAGGTCCAGGCTTGAAGACCCAGACAACTTGAGCAGTTTTTATCGGTATCACCATCTAGAACTGCAAACCTCATATTTAATTACATACTACCTTAGTGTCTTATTAAGATAAGAAACACCTGATGTAAGCTGCCACTGGAAAGGTGCTGGGATCCTTTGGAAGATTAGAAAAAACAAATACAAAGATACTATTATGAAGGAATAAAACAACTTTAAATTTAAAGCTTTCTGATGTCAAAACTAGACATGATTATACTTTATAGATGAGTTGTAGTAAGACTAAGCAAATATGGTTGGCTCAGGTTCAGTTTTCTCTTACCCAGTTGGTTTCAAAAACATAAATAGATCTTCGAGTTCACCGTCAGTAAACCATAAAGGCAGATGAATAAAATACTGTGCCATTGATGTCCTCATTTGTATGTGGAATAGCACTTGGAGCACATGAACTACCCTTTAACATGTTACCCAGTACACACTAAGTCTATACACTAATTGAGAGGACAGTTTTTCAGTAGTTAGGTTTGTATCACATAAACAGCCTAGCTGCTTCAAGGTAGCATGAAAAGGTAGTCTGGATGTTCTCAGTAGCTGAGTTCTCTCTTGTGACAACTCCATTTTATTGTTAGTCCCTTTAAAGCAGATACAATGTCCCTTTGTATCTTCTCATCTTGATAGTAATCAAATTCTCAATTTTTCATTCTTGAATTTCATTTTACTGAGCCCTACTGATGTGAAGGTTATGACCTAACTGAGTCAAATTGAATGGTGAATCCTCACAAAAGTTGGGCCAGCTCTCTTGGGAGAATTGAGGAGCATCACCTTGTGTCACTCTGTGACTCCACAATTTACTAGAATCACTTTGGCAAGCAGTAGGTGCACCACAGAAGCAAGCTGAAAGTTTACTTTTATTTACACAGCATAAAAGGAATCTAGTTCTGGTTTGGTTATCTCTCTGTGGAAGGTCATGGTATTCTGCATAACATCTGGGATAGATCTGTCCACTACAGTTATATGATGTTCATCTTACTTTCTGTTTGTCCCATATTGTAGGTGCTCATGTGACTATCACGGATCGACAAGTAGCATTAGAGTTTCTTAAGTCAAATGTTGAAGCCAACCTACCTCCCCATATCCAACCCAAAGTTGTTGTTAAGGAGCTGACTTGGGGACAAAATTTGGAAAGTTTTTCGCCTGGAGAATTTGATCTCATACTTGGTGCTGATATCATTTACTTAGAAGATACCTTCACAGATCTTCTTCAAACACTGGGACATCTCTGTAGCAGCCGCTCTGTGATTCTTTTAGCTTGCAGAATTCGCTATGAACGGGACAATAACTTCTTAATGATGCTGGAGAGGCAGTTTACTGTGAGTAAGGTCCACTATGATCCTGAGAAGGATGTACATATTTACAAAGCACAAAAGAGAGACCAGAGGGAGGACTTATAGTGGACATTGTTTTCTAAGAATGGAATGTGTCAATTAAGGTCTTGCCACCAGAATTTCCATGTTAATGTGATGGCAGACTGCAAGTCGGTCCAGCCAGAGCTGCTCAAGGAACAGAGCACTTGTGCTCATTGAAGACAAATTCATACCTTGAGCCATTGCTGTCATGACTGGCTCACTGCTGAGCAGTAAATGTACATGTGAGGTGTGGCTGGTGTTCTTTCCTTAGCCATTGTGCCTACTTGGTAAGCAGTTTGCACTGACAATCTGAAAAGAATGGTGTAGAGGTGTTTTTAAACTGGTGAGATTCAGCCATACATTCTGGGCTGTATGTTTGTCTCAGTTTTCTTGTCTGCTGGGTGTAAATGGGGTTTACTGCATATATCCCTGAAATGTTTGTGCTGTCTTGAAGTCTGTTAATTTTTTTGTGAGATAAGGCCTTACTCTGTAGACCAGGCTGACCTCAACTTGCAGTGATTCTCCTGCCTCTACCTCTGAGTGCTGAGATTACACCTGTGTGTCACAACACCTGGCTCCTTGAGATGAGGATGAGATTTCTGGTTCTCATATGACACCCTTTTACCAGATTTCAGGGGGTATATAAGCAAAGGAATAAAGAAAAATACATTTTTACATTTAAAATTACATATAATTATGGGCTGGGCTGAAATTTTCTTCCACGATGATGCTTTGTTTCAGCTTTGCTGTTTCTCACTGTTGCTGTATTTGTTTCTTGGGTGGCTTTTTTCCCTGCCTTTTAATATGTTAGTTTTTTAAAGTTAACTTTAATTTCTTCATAAAGCTTAGCTCCCAAGGTACAAACCCTTAATTGTACCTATAATCACTCCTTGGATCTCAGGATCCCTGGTGGGCTGCAAGCTGCTGGGAGGCCTTTCTCATTTTCCTTCCCTAGTATCTAGTAAAAAGCATATAACCAAGTGATTGGGTAAATTCCATTTAGAGGTCACTAATGTTTTGTGGTGCTAGGGATCAAACCCAGGGTTGTGCCCACAGTGGGCAATACCAACCCCAAGTTAATACATCCCTAGCAGGAATTGTTGGCTTTTGAGTTTTCTCTGTGTAGACTTTATGAATAAAGTTATCAATACAAGCTTTTATTATTATTACTATTATTTGGCTTTATAGACCAGGTTTCTCTGTGTAACAACCCTAGCTGTTCTAGAACTAGCTCTGTAGACCAGGCTGGCTTCGAACTTACAGAGATCCACTTGCCTCTGTCTTCCATGTGCTGGGAGTAAAGGCATGAGCCACCACTGCCTGGCTATAAGCTTTGCTTTTGCATTAAAGCTTAACTAAAAACTCAAGCAGTTTAGGCCATGGGATATTATGAGCTCACAATGGCATTTGGTAATAGAAATTTGTTGAATTTGTTGTATAGACCATTCAAGGCCTCATTTTCTTTTGATAAATATTTTGGATATGAAAGTACCTGACATTGTTGATTTCTGTATCTATTTAAAATGGTAATTGTATTAGTCAGGATCCTCTCTAGATGAACAGAATGGGGGGGGGGGCTGAGGGAGAGGGGGAAAAGGCAGAAAGAGTATTTCCTCCTTCTATGTCCTTTATATAGGCTGGCACCAGATTAGATGAATCTTTCTCTCAGAACATCTGTATTTAGGGTGAGTCTTCCCACTTCAAACGATTTAAGAAAAATCCCTCACAGGTATACCCAGTCCCTTGGGTTTTAGTTAATTTTTAGGTGTAGTCAAGTTAAAGATTTACTTTAGTAAAGGTAGGCTAAAAGCTATGAGCTCTCGGTGTTGTCCTGTTTCAACAGTTCTGATAAATGATATGAAACAGGAACATACATAGCTTACTGACTCTGATAGCATCACCAACATTGCAAGGAAAAACCCAATGCTGCTGTTAGTAGGCTTCTTGGTGTGATTTCATAAAATAGTAACTAAGGAGAAGGTTGAAAGTACTGCCACCCCACTCCCTTTGTTCTACAAATAGAATGTGTGTGTGTGTGTGAGAGAGAGAGGGGGGGGGGAGAGGAGGAGAGGATGAGAGGATAGAGAGAATGAGAATATTTGGTCATTAGAAGTGGAAATTAAGTTTTTTTATTGGTTTGGTGTTTGAAATATTTTTCCAAGTCAGAGTCCATGGGGGAACACACACACCTTTACAACTCAGTGTGGTCTGGCCATTGGCTAAAAGGGGCACAACCGTGGGCAGAAGAAAATACCTGTAGAGGAATGCAGTTGTCAGAAATTTATTTTTTTACATAGAAATCAGAATTGTAATTCATTCAAATAAATACCAGATTTTAAACATTGGTATTTTAATTATGTATGCCTTTGTGCGGGTATATGCATGTTAGTGTGTACAGAAGCTAGGGAGCTGGTATCGGCTGGAGCTGGCATTACATGTTATTGTGAACTTCATGGGTGCTGGAATTGAGCTTGGTACTCTAAAAGAGCAAGTGCTCCTCTCCAGTCCTGAATGCTAGATTTGTTTTTGGGATGGAATAATAACTGTTTTAGACAGCCTTCCCATGTTGTACAGAACCAACAGATATATGCCATCATTCCCAGCTTTCCTGCAATATTCTTTTAGCAAACACAATTTATACTAGAAATATAGCATACCACTAAATTTTAGGTGGTCATAAAGGCAGCTTAATAGCACTGATTGAAAAAAAAAAAGTCCATTATAGAAGATTTACCTAAACAGATCATTTCATTTGTTTCTTTTTCTCTCTCCTTCCCCAATGTGTCTCCAAGAAATAGATTCTTGGGCTATTAAAATAACAAACATGAGCCTGGCATTGGCGGCTCACACCTTTAATCCCAGCACTCGGGAGGCAGAGGCAGGAGGATCTCTGTGACTTTAAGACCAGCCTACAGACTAAGACTAGTCTACAGAGCTAGTTCCAGGACAGTCTCCAAAGCTACACAGAGGAACCCTGTCTCGAAAAACCAAACCAAACCAAACCAAACCTAACAAACAAAAAACTTAAACAGGCTGTCAATAATGAAGCTACAGGAATGTATATAAGATTTACCAATAACCAATGCTGTTTAACTGCTATTTTTCTTTGTCCCTCGAGACCTTGTCTCATTATATAGTCCAAGATTATCTTAAACTGACCCTCCTGTCTCACTCTTACATACTTTGCTATAACCCCAGATAATTGTTCTACGTTATTGGAAGCATTTCCTACCAGTTCTTTAACAGAACAAAACTTCGAGTACTAAAAACCCAAACAAACCAAATCCAAAAACCCACTAGTGTATGCAGTATTGTTAAGTTGTGCTGGATCCAGCACTTGAGTTGGTAGAAGGCAAGTGTTTCTGTTTTGTAACCTTCCTGCTGCCCATGACCACCCCATAGAAAACAGCACCCAAGTTCTTTAAAGAGTAAGGGGTTGTGAGAAGCTAGAAGCATGTTCTCCCACTTGCACAAGCTGAGCAACCTTGGCAGTGTTCAGTTGTGTTTTAGTATTTGAAGGATTGTTAGCTCAAAGGTTCTTTTTTTTTTTTTTGTCATTTTTTTTTTTATTTTATATAACCAAGTCCATTTAAATGAAAACAAACATTTATAGACAATATTTGGGAATTTGGGCGTTGTTCTTTCCAAACTACTTCCTGCTGGTAAGGGGCGCTGTCATGGGGAATTTGAAGAAGATTTAGAAATCCTGGCTGTAGTCTGTAAGACTGCTTTGTCCAGCTGTTTTGAATGTAGGATCACCTGGTACTCTGTTTCAGGCGGTCTGGCTTGATCAAACCACATTAGTCTGGAAGGAATCCACATTTTTTCATTTTCTGTGGAAACAAAAATAGAAATCCTTTTCCCCAGTAACTTGTCCTTCAACTTAAATTTTGGAGTCAAAGCATTTTTTTAAATTTATTATTTTACATGTCGATCCCAGTTCCCTCTCCCTCCCTCCCAACCTCCCTCCTTCCCTGCCTTTTACCTTCTCTGCCCTCTCACATGCACTCTAACCACCCTCCCTTCCCCCCACCCCAATTCCATATGTAGGGGAATGTCATCCAGTAGGGGTCATGTAGGTCTGACAGGTCATGTGAAGTAGGGACTAGGGTTTCTCTCCTGTCTCTAGATTAAGGCAGTTATCCCTCCATGGGGGATGTGTTCACAAAGTCCTTTTGTGCTCCAGGGATACATCCTGGCTCCACTGTCTGAGGTCCCTTAGACTGCTCAGTCCTTCTGGCTGAGACCCATATTCAGGGGGGCCTGAGTCAGTCCCATGCTGGCTTCCCAGCTATCAGTCTGGTGGCCCGTTAGCTCCTCCTTGTTCAGGTAAGCTGCCTCTATGTGTTTCTGCCACCTGGTCTTGTCCTCTCCCTCTGCATCTGAATTCTACTTCGACTCAGTGTTTATGTTTGCTTTAGCCCAAAGGTTCTTAATGCTGTAAAACTAAATGCTTCTTGTTATGACCAGGAAAGCATTAAAAATTCCTGAGATGGTTTCAGAAAAGAAACACTGTCAACATGGGACAATAATTGTGAGGGCTGAAGGGAAAACTAAGACTAGGAAGTCTACCCCTGTCATAACCTTGTGTGAAAGTGGTGCTGCCATTCTAGTTTTTCTTCCAAAACCAACAAAGATGTGGAGTCAGACATGGAAAAAGTGAAGGGATGCAGCTCAGCAGTAATTACTGGCCTAGCATGACAGTGACTACTCAGGGTTCGGTACCCATATACATGAAGATACAGGATGTGATAGAGCACTTGATTAGTATGAACAGAGCACTGGGTTCAACTCCAGTGTCACAGAAATGTTTAATGAAAAGTCATACACATTATGTGAGTATTTGAAATATTCAGAATTGGCAGATTCCTAGGAAGCAGGAGGAAGCAGATTATGGGTTGCCAGAGGCAGGAAAAGGTGGAAGTTAACCATTTATTGGGAGTAGCATTTTATCTAGGTGATGGAAATGTTTCTGAACTACACAGAAATGGCCATTGCACAAGTATGTGAGTGCACTCACTGCTACCAACCACTAAGCGCTTCAGTTTACAATGTAATTTTGCTACTTGTATCGTAATGAAAAAGCAAAAATAATATTCCTGGAGATGAGCCTGCCTTTTACTTGATGTTAGCCCCTCATCCGATGACTGCTTAAAATGTGGAGAAAATGTAGTATCTAATGGGCAAGGTGTCATAGAGGAAGACAGTACTTTCCTGACAATGGCAGTATTCATGACATGAAAATTTTGGAGAAGTTAAAATTTCTCTTTGGGACCTGTTCTTTGCACTGAGTTTAATACGTGAAAGTCTAGAATTCATTGCAGAGGAAAGGGTTACAAACTATACAAAGTTATTACAATTATATTCTTGGTGGAATGTGTTAGAATTTGAGAAAAAGGACTGCCACTCAAGTGTGTCCTCAAATGAATGTCAGGTGACAGCCATCATGAAGATAGGCATTCTAATTTTTCCAGAGGTCCATTTACACCTCCTGTCCTCATAAAATTAATAGTGGCCTTTCACGTGTGTGTGTGTGTGTGTGTGTTTAAAGAAAGGGTCTCATGATGTAGTTCTGACTGTCCTGGCATTTACTGTGTAGATCAGGCTTGCCTCTGCCTCCCAAGTGCTGTGATTGAAGGTGTGTACCACCATGCCATGTTTCATCCTTTCACTCTTGAAGTCTCAGTAATTCAGTAGGTGTGGTTGTTTTGTAGAAAGGAGAAACATGAATCCAAGTGACTCAAGCTTCAAGACTGCATTTGATGATCAGGAAATACTATACAGTTTAGGACTAAATTTTTTCACAATTTCCAGAAGTTACCTCAGAATATTACAGGTAACCGAACTCCTTATTCATACCCTTCCCTGCTTCCCCACAGAACCTTACCAGAGAGAACCCAACCTAGCCTTTGATTCTGCCTCTTGTGTTCCTGACAAACGCATACTACTGTACCTGTCTCCCACTGCAATTTATACACTCACTAATTCAGAATAAAGGTGATCTGAGAAGTTATGTTATTGTTCTTTAATACACACATCTCCTAGCTGAAGGCTGCTGTACATGCCTCCATTAGTTAATTAGTTAGTTGACAGGACAGCAACACTTGCAAATCTTTAGGTCACTGCTCAACATTTCTGGGGGGGGAAAAAAAAAAAACCAACCAAAAAACAAAATAAAGTGCTAAAAACAGGTTCAATAAAACTGACTCTAGATGTGTTGAGAATTACCACTGTTGCTAAGCATCACAGCCTGTGAAATATACAATGTAATCTTTGCTCAGTTGACAAAATTAATGAACTCAAGTTCAAGAGAATGAGGGTAAACATCTACAAGCTGGAAGAGGGGAAAGAGAGGGATGGAGGGAGGGAGGCAGGAAGAGAGAGATTATCCCGGCCCAAAAAAGAGACTTTACAGAGTTTTAAAAGCATGTTTATGTGTCTGCACATAAATGTCTGTGTAAAAAGGGCATTATGACAGTTGATACCACAAAGATTACAGTAAGAAAAGCACTTTATGACAATATTTCACAAATTCACAAGGATCACTTTAATATACAAAGCAACTGCTACCATTCTGAACACAAAGCAGCCAGTATGTACATAGTGTTAATAAAATGCATGTTATCTTGGTACTTTTATTCTTTACACATAAAGCACAAAAAGATTTAGGTAAAAAAAATTTAAACAGGGATGTTTCTGGATTGTAGGGAATTTTATTAGAAATGTATTTCCCTCCTCATAGTTATTAGTACTCAACTCCAATAGAAACATCAGAGTTAGAAGCGGGATACCCTGTTTTGTGCTGACAGTTCTAGGGGAGGTATTCTCTACTCCAGTATTCAAGGAAAACCCAAAAAGCCAAACACTGTCTGAGGACTTCCCTGGCTATTTATTTATTTATCTTTTCAAAAAAAGTGGCATGTCTAGGTTGGAAATGATCCCTTCTGCTGGGGGCATTATAACCGATGTGCACAGATGAGCTGAAGACAGTTTTACACACACAAAAAAAACCTGCTAACTAACACATTTCTCCATCCTAATAAATCTACATGCACAGAAAAATGTTGACAGATGTCCTACTTTTAATATAAATAATTTTATTACATATACATTGAAGTGGCACCTGGGTAAAAATACGTCTATAAAGCATTTACCAATTCAATTTTAAAAAACATAAGAAAATAAAACCTCCCAAATATAATAAATCATTTTATGTGGCCAACATAGATCATGATCTGCAGAGACTTTTCTTCCCTACTATTCTTTTTCCACATCTCAGATTGACTCTATCTCTGAGACGCCCCTCAGACAGAAGCTTAGAAATGCTGTGCTTCTATGGGCAAGTAGTGAATCATGCCTGGGAAGTAGGAGTTTCCTACTGTTTGACCTTTCTCACATACTTCCTATAGATTATTCATCTTCCTTTACTTGCTGGTAATAATTTAACATTTACCCAGCTGGGACCTGCCCCCACAAGTACCAGAAAGAGGACTGGCCAGCATTTGCTCTACTTGTTCTTATACTGTTAACTTGCTTCCCAAACTTTGCTCTTATTTGTTTTTTTAATTTTTCTTTTTTTAAAAAATAAATTTCAAGCTAAAACACCTGAAATATAATTCCTCCATTCAAATGTTTCTGGTCCTTGTTAAAGTTTGTCTGCCCCTGAGGACATATACAAAGGCTTAAAACTACATTCACTCACGAGGAAGCATACCACGGGCAGATGAGTCAGCAGGAACCGCAGCACCCTGTTTGTTTGAAATTCTTCCATACTGACTCAACCTCATGATATGTTCAACCCCTCAAGGATTATATGCCTCTCTTGGCCATTGATTCTAGAAAGTTAAGGAAACCAGTTCCTACGACATAACAGTGACGGTTAACTTAAAAGTCAACATTATTAACATTGAAAGTAATCATGACACACGTGAGCCACCCAACAGAAATTCTAGTTGTGCTTTGTACAACTCTGTGAACAAGTTTATTCTATGGTGATTCACCTGTACAGGCCTAACAAAGCATCCTTTACTTCCTCCTCATCTGAAACCAGTCAAGTTTAGGCAGCATTTCTTTGAAGTTAACAAAGCCTAATTTAAAATGAAAATAATTAAGTAACAATGATTATTACATAGTCTCCTGTGATGACAATAAGTTAGCTGCTTTAACAATGTTTGCACTATTTTGGAAACATTTTTGGCATACTCTATATAGAATTAATGTTGGGGTGAGGATGAAATTTAAAGTTACAGGTATTTATTTTTTCTTTCAATATTTACTCATGATGAAAAAAGTCTCAGCTCACTTTTTAATTAATTGGGCTAGTCAAATCTAATCCCTAGATATTGAGCTTTTATAACATGCTCTAGATTAGCTGTGAAAAGCTTGCATTAAGGAGTCAGGATTTGGAGAGAGGAGGAAGACAGAAGAGTCAGTGGAGAACTAACTAATGGGAATTTCCCAAGTTGCTCATACCCAAACTGGGCCATTACAAAAAAAAAAAAAAAAAGTGCAAGTTACACTGAACATTTACAAAGAATTAATGTAAATACAACCCCAAGTAAATATACAACCTTTGTATTGGGCCCCGGGAAATAATATGCCACCAGTTTTCAGTGTTACAAAGGCAAAACCAAGCCTCTGGAAGGGGCTGAAAATGAAGCAGCTATTGGTAGAGAAACGGACTTGTTACTAGCTCACTGGAGTCGGCAGAGAATAAACGCCTCTTCAACAGGAAAGAAGACATTTAGATTGAAGTCACTCCAAGTAATTAAAAGCACCCAGGTTATATAACTGTTTCTAAGCCCCAATCTTTGTATTCCATGTCACCTTAAATGGTGAGAAACAGGAGGGAGGAGTCCTGAGAGACAGACAAACTTCAGCCAGATGACTTGTGATGGACAGCCTGCCTGCCTGGCTTTGTGCACTGCTTGCTGACCTGTCATCAAAACACATTTCCTGACAAAATCCCTGTTCAAATGAAACACCAAGAAGTCTTTGCCTAATATGATTCTAAAAACAAAAAATAAAATAAAAATCTTTGAAAAGCTATTGTCAAAATGTTCTTACCAATTTTGTAGCTGCCAGAAACAAAGCAGGAAAAACAAAAACAAAAAGCTGTGGGGGATAGGAGTTTTCAAGTGACTGGTAACACCCAAAAGCATCAAGCCAAAGAAAACTAAAAAAAAAAAAAAAAAAAAAAAAAAAGGACAAAAAAATAAAGGATAAAAACCAGTTCTGAGTGCTGGAATAATAGTCACTGAAACCAGCAAAAGAGATGCGGAGACTGCGCAGAAGTGTGGGATTTCATCTGACCTCAATACGCTATAATATTCAGCATTCCTGACGTAACAGCTCTCTCAGAGCGTTTAGATGATATACTGTATGTATGTATGTATATATGTACACATATATTACAAAATGCCACTTCCCCACCCATTCTATAACATCTAAACAAGCACAGCACCTATGACAATATGATGGTTGCTAATATGGTACTTGCTTTTGATAAACAACTGAAAAATTATGTCTCATATCAGTTTTTTAATATGAACATATTGGATCTAGCCCTTTCTAAACCACTTTTCAGTTAAACACTATCAAAGCTTGAAAACTCAGAAGAGTAATATATCAAAAATAAACCCCTCCCCATTTCATTTTTATTAGAGTTAATCTGTCCTATAGATAAAAGTGCCACATGGCCCTATATATGTAAAGTGAGCAATACCAAACTTGCTATTTTCTAGGCAAATCAGTAGCATATGTACAGATTCCTATGACAACAGTTTCATTCCCTTTTGGCCAATATCAAGAGGAAAACATTACTGTTAATGTGGCCACATACAATCTTGGATATAAGTGTTTTTAAAAAATTATGTTATTTTCTTAATAAAGATTCTCCAAGTAGCTCAAAAATGAAGTTTTTTTTTTTTCTAATTCTTATATTTAAAAAACAGCTTGCATTAAAGAGGCTTCTTTCTGTATAAACTGAATCTTCAAGTCAGATTTAGCAACACCACATATTTCTTTCTCACCTTATTAAGTAGCCAGCTTCAAATCAGTGCAGCCGTGCTCCATGCACAAGGCCCCAGGCCTCTGGATTCAAATCCATCCAGCTAGTAAGAGTGCCTGAGACTGCTGCCTTGGCCTGCAAAGCACTAAGGAGACCACTGATTTCCTAAGTATGGAGAAAGCCTAAACTTTTGAAGACAAACACCTAGAGATTACAACTTCTACACACTAGGCAACTTTCCACTTGTGACATTTAAAATGCTCAATCTGACATTTTTGACTTCAAGTGAAGTAATTCCAGCTCATCAACAGATTGTGGTTTTGCTTCATCTCTGTTTAACCAAGTTTAGTAAATGATACATCTACATGATGGTACACAGACAGTTTTTATGCTGTCTCTTTCCCATTAAGCTCAGCAGGACAGACATCAAACTTTATAGTCGTTTGAAAGCCTTCTTGAGAATCTGGTGAACTGTCCAAACATAAGGATTACATCACTCAAGTCTTAGAATGATGCTCCTTCACAAACTGTTCATCCTTGAAAAAAGACAATGGTTTGTTACAAACAAGATATAACATGTACAGATAGTAACCTAAAAATTTATTTTTAAAAATGGGCCAAACATCTAATGCTCGTATGTATATGCTGACATTAAAACCAGCTTTCTTAATATCCCATGAGCAAATATAGAGCAACCTCTGACTCCATGTTCTTTCTCAAACATGAAGTAATCTAATACAACAGCCTCCACCTTCCTCATATTTGTCTTCGAAAGAGTAACTTTTAGATTTTATCAGACTTAATTACTAAGTCTTATCAGAAACATCACACATAAATGCAGACATTGAGTCGGGATTTAAGTAGGGAGGGACTTTAGGAACAATAGAATAGCTAGCTACTGGATAGGTAAAGCAGTACATCTTTTTATGGGAGGAAAAGAGTGTCTTGCTAATTGCTGTACCACAGCAGACACTCCAAAGTCTGAAAAAACTGCTTTTCTTGTGTGCATTTAATACCACATTTGAGAATCACATCCTTGTAACTTCTTTCATTTTAAAAAAATTGTAAGAGATTTTCTGATAAACTATTCAAATATAGAAATGGTTGTAAATTTTGTACTTCTCTAAAGAAATCAAGTTTGTTTAGACATCTTGAAAACTTTCCTGTTGGTGGCACAACATAAATGCAACAGTGAATCAGAAATAGCTTTTTAGGTAAATGAGTGACAATATAAGGATTTTGAAGGCAAGGGCAAAAGCTTTTATTTATTAAAACCTTGTTATATAACTCAAGGAGTTGGCTTCCTGGCCAGCATCTGTTCATTAAAATTTAATATTAACCAAAATAAGCTTTGTACTTGGATTTTAACTTAACTAAAACTCAAATACCATGCTTGTTTTCAGCTGGTTACTTCTTTTAATGTATTCAAATTGCTGAACACACAGAACTGAATTCAGAAGTAACAACTGACCTACATAAGAGCTGTGGTTAATACAGAATGCTTGTCAGAACCAAGGTCAACTTTTAGTTAGTACTGAAGAAAAGAACATACATAGTCTACTCTTCAACACTGAACTAAAACCCTTTTTTAGAGGGCATGTCTTTGAACAGTTAGCGTCACATAATTCACAATGAAACTGTAGAAACATCAATTTGGGAATCAACACTTCTTCATTGTATCTTACTTACTTTCCTCACATGCCCACACATCACTTCAGCTCGAGAGGCTGGGTAATTCTGTCCCTAAGGCAATCATGGAGCTCAGCACAAACCTTGAAATCACTAAAAAGAAACGAAACAAAACAAACAAAGCCAAGATTTCATTTTCCTCATTTCCCAACAATTTACAAATAAACAGATGATTACTTCTTGAGGGTGGGAGATGGAGAGCAGAAGTCTCTTCATGGTTCCTGGTGCTGCACATTTCTTGAGGGGAGGAGTGGAAGCAGGTGTTGGAACATTCACAGTTTAATGCAAAAGCAGAAACGAATGAAATTCTCTAGTTGCTTTCAGGCAGTTTTGCGCATAGAAAAAAAGAAATGTTTAGAAAATAAATGTTTATTTTGTCTTTCTGGTTGTAGCCAATCCAGTCCATTTTCCACCGTAACAGGTGAAAATTTAAATCCCGAATTAATCTGATTTGTGGCAGTAAAGGTCCTTAAGTGCTTTTAGCTCCTCAATCAATGTCTTGTTTTGGTTTTCAAGCACTGCCACTCTGTTCTCTAAACATTTCACATATTCTTTCTTCTTTCTACGACATTCTCTTGCTGCTTCCCTAAAAATGAAAACACACACACACAAAATCATTTCATGAATTCCATTCCACTACTTTTAGAATACAATGTTTTCTAGAGAAAACAGATGAAATGAACAAACGGTCATTATTGTACAGACAATAAACACTCAATAAATGACATTGAGGTTGCCTGGTGAGATGGCATGTGTGGAATGATGGAATGACCCTTATTGCCAACCTGAGTTTCACCCTGTATCCCACATGGTAGAAGGTGAGAACCACTTTTTTTTTTTTTTTTTTAAACAGATGTGCTTACACACACACACACACACACACACACACACACACACACACACACACACACACTCACACTCATACACGGAAATGTAAAAAAATTATTTCAATTATTTAATAGATGCTTTTGGGAGCTGGAGCTATAGCTCAGCAGGCAAAGTGCCAAATGCACCATTAGCACTGGGACTGGATTCATATCCCTAGCACCCAGGTAGAAGCCAACAGTGAGGTGGGATAGAAGACAGAAGACGCCATGGAGTGAATGGCCATAAAGCCTAGCCAATTGCTGACCTCCTAAGACTCTGTCTCAAAAATGAAGGTTGATGGGAAGCATGTACACTCATGCAGATCTTCCCCTCTCTGCTCCTCCAAATCCACACCCCCAGTCTCATCCCCAGCTCTGCAGTGGAATACCTATTGGGGCTCCCCATACCCTTATTGTGAAATAACTGCATACTATGAATATGTATTACTCTCTGATGGGAGATGTTATTCTGTATATGTTTTTCATACTGGTTAATAATAAAACACCATTGGCCAATAGGAAAGGAAGATAGGAGAGACAAGGAGGAAATAGGAAGTAGTAAGGAGGAGTCAAGATGGAGAGTCTGGAGAGATCTGGATGCCAGCCGCCTCCCGGGTAAGAGAAGGCCATGTGAAAATACATAGATCAGCAGAAATGGGTTAATACTTAAGACAAAGCTAGCCAATAAGAAACCAGTACCTGGCCAACAGTATAATATCAAATACAGAGTCTCTGTGTATTATTTGGGGCTTCTGCCGCCTGGGCGAAACCCAGGTAATCCCACTTCTGACACCAGATATCGCGGTTAAATAAGGATCAGGATAAACAAATAGGCCGAATAGATGTTTATTCAGGGAGAAATAACTTACAACCTAGACAGATGAACACCAGGAAATTCAACCCGATCCTCTCCTGTCTGAGTCACGCCAGAAAGAGAGCGCCTTTCCTGGCCCCCTCCGACCTCCTTCCACAGGTCACTCCGCCCATGGCTCCACCCCCAATGGGCGTGGTCAGTGCCACAGAACTACCTCACTACAACTCTCCCTGGCTCAAAAAAGTCGATTGGCCAACAGCTGGGCAAAAAGAATAGGCGATACGATCAAACAGAGGATGCAGGGGGAAAAGGACAGAATGAGAGAGTCAGGAGACTTCTCCTTATCTCTCCCTTCATTCCTCTAAGTCCCAGTCCCCCAGTATCATCCACAGTTATGTAGCAGACTACCTCTGGTGGCCTCTCCTCACTCTCTGGCCCCATTCCCAGGGGACTAAGCAGATACTGGTGGAACACCCTCTGCTTTCCTCCTTTCTGGGCACCTTATCCCCAGACCCATCGTAGACAATCCAATACTAACACACACATTTCACCCAGAAACCCCAGTGACCACACCTATCAGAATCCCATGAGAATTTCCTAATAGGGAACACATGGCAACCACATTCTCCTAAAGATCTAGAGGGCAACAGAAACCAAGGAATAAAATACCCTCCCAACAAAGACAAGACTGGATATCAGCACCTAGAATTACATTCCTCTCAAAGCAGATAGATGCCTAGATATCAGCATATAAACAACAACAGCTAGGACAATATCTCTACTAGAGCTACAGCAGGACCCTGAGTACTGCAACATAGCTCAAGACAAAGAAGACCTTAAAATAGCCTTTCTTAGTATGATAGAGGTCCTTAAAGAAAAATAAATCCCTTAAAGATGTTTATGACAACACAAACATTGGAAGGGAAGATTCAACAGTTCAAAACTTGAAAATGGAAATAAGACTCAAGAAAGAAAACCCAAATTCACCTCCGACCCCACCCCCAGAGACAGGGTTTCTCTGTGTACAGTCCTGACATCCTGGAACTCACTTTGTAGACCAGGCTAACCTTGAAATTACAGAGATCCATCTACCTCTGTCTCCCAAGTGCAGCACCACCACCACCTGGCCAGAAAACCCAAACTGAGAGAAATCTAGAAATGAAAACTTTAGGAACTTGAACAAGACAGATCAACAGAATGGATGAGAAAGCAGAATCCATCCTGCTGCATTCAAGAAACACAACTTGATATCAACTCAGGGTAATGCATGGAAAAAGGAACTCCTAGCAAATGGACCTAAAGAAGCAAGCTGGTATAGCCATTTTAGAACCTGACAAAATAAATAAGACTTCAAACCAAAACTCATTAGAAGAAATAGGGAAGGACATTATACACTCATCAAAGGAAAAACCCACCAAGAGCATATTGTAATTCTCAATATCTATATACCACACAAGGGTACCCAAGTTCATAAAAGAAACACACTGACTCTCATACCTGGATAGTGGGAGACTGCAATAATCCATATCCCCAACAAACAGATCATTCAGACAAAAACTACAAGAGAATTGTGGGTGCTAACTGACATCATGAAACAAATGGACCAAACAGATAACTACAGAACATTTCAACCAAACACAAAAGGATATACCTTCTCAGCACCTCATGTAATGTTCTCCAAAGTTGACCATATACTTGGACACAAAGCCAGTCTCAACAATATAAGAAAACTGAAATGACACCCTGTATCTTATCAGATCACCATGGATTAAAGCTAAGTAACAACAGCAGAAACAACAGAAAGCTTACATACTCATGGAAACCGAAGAAGCTACTACTGAATGAAAAAGTCAAGATAGAAATTAAGAAATTAAAGACCTAGAATTGAATGAAAATGAATAAACAACATACCCAAACATATGGGCACTAAGTATCTACATAATAGATAGATAGATAGATAGATAGATAGATAGATAGATAAATGAGATTTTGCAGAGATCTACTAGTAACTTGACAGCACACATGAAAGCTCTAGAACAAAAGAAGGAATCACACCCCAAAGGAGTAAAGGGCAAGAAATAATCAAACTTGGAGCTGAAATCAATAAAATAGAAACAAAGAGTGGAACAAAGATTTGATTCATTGAGAAATATTAGTAAGATTGACAAACCCTTATCCAAATTAATTAAAGAGAGAATATCCAAATTAACAAAATTGAAAGTGAAATGTGGGACATAATAACAGGCCATAAGGAAATCCAGAGAATCATAAGGGCACACTTTATTTTTTAGAAATAGGGTTTTTCTGGGTAGCCCTGGCTTTGTTGGAATTTGCTTTGTAGACCAGGCTGATGGGAGATGTCATTCTGTAAATATATTTCTCTTATTGGTTAATGAATAAAGTACTGTTGGCCAATAGGAAAGCAAGATAGGTGGGACTAGGAGACAAGGAGGAAAGAGCAAGAAGTAGGGAGGTGTCAGCATGTAGAGACTTGAGAGAACGAGGACCGGACCCTCTCTCCAGTAAGAGGAGACCACGTGGAAATACTTAGATTAATAGAAATGGGTTAATATTTAAGACAGAGATAGCCAATAAGAAATGCTAGTAACAGGCTATAACAACATTATATCAAATACAGCGTCTCTGTGTGTTATTTGAGGCTGGCGCAGCAGTGGGACCAGACACACCAGAAAGGAAAAACTACTGTTAACACCAGGCTGTCCTCAAATTCAAAGATTTACCTGCTTCTGCTACCCAACTGCCGGGATTAAAGGCATTTATCTACCATTGCCCAGCTAAAGGTTTTTTATTTTATTTTTAGTTTAAGACATACTTGAAAAACCATTATTCTACTAAACTGGAAAAGGTTAGAAGAAATGGGTAATTTTCTGTATGGGTTTCACTTACTAAGGTTAAGTCAAGATCAGATAAGTAATTTCAATGGACCTATAAATCTTAGTGAAATAGAAGCAGTCATTAACTGCCTCCCAGCCCTCCTCCAAAAGCCAAGAACCAGATGGTTTAGCAAAAAATTTTTTCAGACTTTCAAAGAAGAGTTAACACCAAAATCCTTCAAATTATTCCACAAAACAGAGAAAAAAGGGAACATTGCCCAATTTGTTTTACAAGGCCATAGGGTGCCCTGGATATAAACCACATAAAGGCTCAATAAAGAAGAGAATTATAGACCTACTTATCATTGTGACCATAGATGCACAAATTCTCAATAAAATATTTGCAATTGAATCCAAGAACAAATCAAAAAGATCATCTACCATGATCAAGTAGGTTTAATCCCACTGATGCAGGGATGGTTCAACATATGTAAGTCAATAAATGAAATCCATCATATAAACAAATGGAAAGACAAAAACCATATGATCATCTCATTAGATCCACAAAAGGCCTTGGACAAAAGCCAAAGCCTCTTCACAATCAAAGTCCTAGAGAGAATAGGTATACAAGGTACATATTTCTATATAATAAAGGCCATTTACCACAAGTACATGGTCAACATCAACTTAAATGGAAAGAGAAAGTCAAAGTATTCCACTAAAATCAGGAACAAGACAAGGTTGTCCATTCTTTCCATACCTATTCAATATAGTACTTGAAATCTTGGCTAGAGCAGTAAGGTAACTGAAGGAGATCAATGGCATACAAATTGGAAAAGAAGTAAAAATATTTTTACTCAGAGTATACATAAGTGACTCAAAATTCCACCAGGAAATTCCTACATCTGAGAAACACTTTCAGCAAAGTTGCTGGATATAAAATTAACTCATAAAAATCAGTAACTCTAGACATATAGACTGAAAAAGAAATAAGGGAAACAATACCTTTCATAATAGCTTCAAACAACATAAAATAACTTGGGGAAACTCTACCCAAGCAAGTGAAAGACTT